ATAATGAAGTATCACGGGTATGTTTGGATAAACTCGGGTTGTAACCATCCAAAATCAAATCCAACCATAAAGTTGTGGTTTTAAAAATATAAAACTGCACCCACCGTACACATAACATTAAATATTCATGAATATAAAAGGTGGTTCATTTATGACAAAAAAAGGTGGGTCGTTTAGGTTGAACGAGTGCGACAGTTTACGGTTTGTTTTTCTCATCCCTATATATGGTAACCTATTAATGAAATCTTTTTCCAGGGTAGTTAATAATTAATATAACCGCCTCACTATTGGAGGCGGGAGTTGGGTGTGCGTTCTATGGAGCCTACACCGTTGTATTGTGACAATCAGGCAGCATTACACATCGCAGCAAGTCCAGTTTTCCATGAGCATACAAAACATGTTGAAATGGATTGTTATTTTGTGAGAGAGCGTGTGACGTCAAAGGAGATAGATCCGAGGAAGATTGTAACAGGCGATCAAGTGGCAGATGTGTTTACCAAAGGTTTAGGAAGTAAACAGTTTGCCTACTTTGCGTCCAAGCTTGGTCTTTATGATATTCATTCCTCCGCCTGAGGGGGAGTGTTGAGTGACAGTTAGGCGACGTAATTAAGTTACATGGGCTTAATTGTCTCTAGGTGGTTAGTTGTGGAGTGCAGTGGTATTTTACCTAATTCTCTCAACCCTATTTGAACTTGTTGTTAGGGTTAGCTGCACACATTTATATATATATATATATATATATATATATATATATATATATGTTGGTTGTGGCATTATTGCCGTGTAACTGTGTGTGAGATGTTCATAATAAAAGTTGCAGTCGAGATCTCTCGTTGATCTCTCCGTGGAGTAGTCTCGTTCACATCGAACGAGGAAACCACGTTAAATAGTTGGTGTTATTTCGTTTTCGCATTTCGCTTATTTTATAGAGAGAAGGATACATTACCTCCTAAAAACCACGTTAATTATTTCCAACGAGGAATTAAAGTGATGGGCGACGAATGGACCAAACACCGCCTTCATGCACTTGGAAAGGTTGTCTCCGGCGGGCAAGCTCATCACTTTCCCCTCGTAGCTGGCGTTCCAATTCATATCCCATACTTCTAGGTGTCCAATGGCAAAGGAGCCCTATTTCTGGACCTCGGCTTCCACTTCCATGGCGGATGGCATGTACATTGGGAGGTTGAAGGAATCCTGCTTTTGTTGATCAATCAATCCCTACAATGAGACCACGACAGATAGTTATATACATGTGACACTTCAACGAGACCTCGGCTTCCAGCTTTTGCAGATCATCATGCAAGAAGGCGTTCTTCACATCCAGTTGATATAGAGGTCAACTACGAAGGAAAGCAACAGCTAGCAAGGAGCGAACGGTAACCATCTTGGCAATTGGAGCAAATGTCTCTGTAAAATCAACACCATACTCCTGAGTGAAGCCCTGGGAAACCACCCGAGCCTTAGACCGGTCAAGAGTGTCATCTGGTTTGATATTGAGGGTATACACTCATCGACTACTGACAATAGGAACCTCAGGCAGAGGTCGAGGAACGACTTCCCATGTGTGGTTGGCATAAGCGCATCGATCTCGTAGTCCATAGCCCGATCTCACAACGGATTACCCTGTGCCTGTGAGAAACGAGTCGGAATAGGAATAGCCTCGACTCCATAAGTAACAAAATCATGATATCGAACTGGTGGTTTCCCGAGATTAAGCGAAGCAATCGACGAGGCATGACAGGAGCTTCCAAATGAGACGCAACTGGAGAGGAGTCCATGGTGGAAGGAGTGGACGGAGCACTGGACGACGTGGAGCCCATGGAAGAGGGAGGAGAATAAGGGGGGCGGGGGTAGCTCATGAACATCATCATCATCATCGGGAAAGGACGGTGGACCAAGGGACGTAGCAAAAAGGGGCGGAGAGGTGGACGACGAACTAGAGTAATATATCAAGTTCTCAAAAAAGACGACGTTACAAGACACACGAAGACGCTGGGTGGAGGGTTCGAAACAAAGATACCCCTTGTGGATATCACTATAGCCAAGGAACACACAACGAGAGGTTTTAGACATCAGCTTAGTGCGCTCAGAGCGAGGACGGAGAAGGAAACAAGTACAACCAAAAAAACGAAGACGAGAGTAAGGTGGGTGTTTAGCAAAAAGCTTATGGTAGGAACTAGACTGTCGTCGACAACAAAAATTCTAGCATCTCCCTGACTAGGCTTGATGTCCATAACAGATTGTGTACGAAGCCGAGTCTCCTCGTGCAGTAAGGCGCCGAGAACTCCGTCCATTTTGAGGGACTCGCGATGACGAGCGAGGAATTGGAGCAAACGAAGCCGATTCTATTCAGCCTTCGCCTCTTCAGAAACACCCGACGGCATCAGCGCAGTAGAGACTAAGTCCTGCTCAGTCCAGAGCTGCCGTGCCTCATTGTAATAGGATACGATATCACGATCGCCCTGCTAAGGCTGAGTAAGCACAATTTCGAGCTCAAATTGACGAGCCACGCTCGTCGTCCCGTACGTCTCAGCCAGATTCTTCCACATAGCAGCCGCCGTTGGAAGGGTACGTAAACCCAACACGATCGAAGTCTCGACGGAATTAAGAAGGGCAGTCTTGACGCACGCATCATTCTGCTACCATTGAAGCAAGACCTGCGCGGTAGCAGGTGGAACAACGAGTCTGGGCGACGATCCATCGAGCATGGAAAGAAGCTCTTTGCCTTCGATATAGATACGAAACCGGAACTCCCAAAGGCCGTAATTCTTCGAGTTCAAACGCGCGGAGATACGATCTGAATCCATTGCAGAAAGCTCTGATACCATGATAATCGAAACGGAGTAACTAAACGAAGAACAAGATCGAAACGGAACACGACTCAGAATTTAACGTGGTTTCCTTGCTCGGTGTGAGTAAGACTAGTCCACGGCAGGAAACAGAGTCTCGTATAGTCATATGTTCCACAATTACATATATATATATATATACATATGCATATACCGTTTAGGCTAGCGTACGTTAGTCGTACATTGTACGGCCGTCGAGTTTTACTATTTAGAACAGGAATTAACCGAAATTTTGGGCATGATACTATACCCTAACCTCTAATGGATAAACTCCAGTCCCTAATTCTCTAACCCAAGCCACGATATTCATTTAATCTAAAAAATAATAACCGACGGTTCTGATTCAGTGAAATATATTGAAGTGCAAACACCAAGTGTGAACACATGCTTACAGCGTACGACTGACGTACGCTAGCCTTTGCCATGCATATACATATACATATACATATACATATACATATACATATATATATACATATACATATACATATACATATACATATACATATATATATATATATATATATATATACATATACATATATATATATATATATACACACATATATATATATACACACACATATATATATACACATATATATATATATATACACACATGGTGGCGTATTCGGTGCACCCACTTTTTTGGGTGCACTCAATGCACTCGCCTCATAATCGTCATTTCAAGCATGCAATTCATGTCAAAACGGTATCATTTGTAACTTATGATATTATGAACAAGAAACACATGAATTTGAAAAAAACTCATTGCAAATTTACTTTAATTTGAAGAATTTAGGATTTAGTGATTTAGAGTTAGGTTTAAGTTTACAATTTGGGATTTTGGTTTGAGATTCAAAATTGAAGGTTAAGGGGTTAGGGTAATGGATTGATTAGTTGAGATTTTATATTATCTCATCATATTAGAATAATGCTACCAACAAAATTTTAAAATTTGATGTATTATAGCCACTTTTAGAGTTGGGTGCATTCACTACAAAAAAAAACTGTCTATGCCAAGGGTTATTTTCACTTATAGCAAGGGTTTAAACCCCGGCTACAAGACATAGCAAGGGTTATACCAACCCAGGGGCGGAGCTAGGTGGTACTTCGGGTGGGCCCCGGCCCCCCCGAGAGTTTTGAAATCACGTACAAAATTCTATCGAGTTTTGAAGAATTACGTATGAAATGAAGATTAGTATAAATACAAACTGTGTGCAATAATGAAGCATATGATTTGTGTGTAGTCCAGTGGAGTAGAAGTCGATTGTTGTCATTCATGGTTTTGGTTCGAAACCTCATGGCAGCAAATTTTTATTGATTTTTTAACCTTCTTAACTAACCGTGATAAAAAAAATCATATTTAATTGTCTTTAACCTTCTTAATTGAGCGTGACAAGGACCATATTAATTTTTTTAACCTTGTTAATTTAGTTTTACCATGAAGCATATTAACTTTCATAATTTGTTTTACAAGTCATGTAATTTTGAAGTAGCTTAATTATGTTCTTCAAATTTTAAATTTATATTTCTAATAATAGTTTTGGCATTTTCATTATCTCAAATATTACAAATAAATAATAAATAAATATTAATATTAAGTATATTTTATGATATATTTTCTTCTACATATTACACTTTCTAAACTTCGGCCCCCCCCCCCCCCCCCCCCCCCCGACGGTCAAATCCTGGCTCCGCCCCTATACCAACCCTTGGGTCAACCCTTGGCAATGCTGCCCCTGCTACATGTAGCAATGGTTTTGAGCGACCCTTGGTGGAAGTCCCATGCAGGGGTTGTACCAGGGGTTTAAAACCCTTGCAAGATTAACAAGGGATTAAAACCCTTGCTATATGTCTCTAAAATTGAAAGAGATAATTTCCACATTACTACGTATAGCAAGGGTTAAAACCCATGCTACATTTCGCTTAGATAAAAACAAATTAGGGTCACTTTTTCGTTGCTAACTAACTGTCGCTAAAGAAATGGTCGCTAATATCAAACCTAATTCATCTTTCAGAACCACTTTTTGGTTACTAAAGTGACTTTTTCGTCACTAAAGTTAGAACATTCTCGTCACCAAATGTGAACCGAAACATTGAGTTTTCCTAACTATTCAACACCAAATAAATAGTGAACAAAAACACTTCAATAAACTGTGGTTTTTCTTATTATATCTCTCCATAACCAGTTCAATGATCGACAATCTTAAAACAATATCACTCCATATATCATTCATATGACGTTCGGAATAATCTAAACATATTCTAAACACAAGAAAACATCTAGAGTTACACCTTAATGATCTATAACTCAGCCGAGTGCATGAGAGAGCCTGATGAACACTTACACCCTGGTTGGACTAGAAATATGTCACTGCTGCTGTCACACTGATATGCTTTCAGAAACCAATTCGGGAATGGCTGACAATTCTGCAATGGCAGGTGCATTTCCACAATCCATATTTACCCCTGAAACAAATCACCATCAGAAGGCTTTTCTTTTTCTTAAGCTTTAAAGATTATGTAAAAATGCATTGATCATGAAGCGGTCATCGTGGTTTAAATTCTGAGAGTACCTGCTTTCAGCGCAAGAGCCACTGCATCCTCTGTTGTAGCCGTGTAAGTAAGAACATTATAGTAAATCTCAATAGCACTACAATCTGAAGCTAAGTATTTTAGTCTTTACCAGGAACCAGTTCTTCAAGTGATAGATTACTAGAGGTTTCAACCTAAGTATCTCACCAGCAACTCCAGCCCACCAATAACCATTATGTAAGTTATGAAGAAAGTCGCCTTCATAGGAATCGAGACACCAACCGTCTTTGGTATCTCGCACAATACATTACAATGCAGTCAGTTTCATTTCTTTGAATTTTTACTATGTTAATTCAACAGCTAAATAGTACTATGGATTCATACTCAGTTGCAGAATGGTGTATGAAATTGTCCAGTTGCTGAAATGCAGTTCCTGTGAATTGCGATTATGCTGCCAAGGAACACATTGATGAACTGGAAACGAACTGGAAACCTTGGATAACAGACTTTGACTTTCCTGCACAAAAGAAGCCAGCAAGTATAAGTGGTGAGGAAGAAGAATGCGACACCAATGACGAGCCTCCTGATTGCGAGTGAAACATATGATATGGCCAAGTTGTCCCAGTACACATCCCGGGGTTCTGGAGTCCATTCAATGTCAATCAGCCATTGTGCTGGATTCCTGGATTGTTGTGTTTGTGCACAAGTGGCAGCAGCCCATCTTGTTTTAAAGGAAACGAATGCAGCTGGCATTACAGCATCCCGGTTGCTCATGACCTACTGTATTTCTGTTGAGATCTAAAGAAAAGGTTAGAGAAAGTTAGGACCATTCTGGTTGAAACCAGGAGGGTTATGGATCGTTCATGAAGTGATTCTAGATATGTGGCCTAAAGAACAATATGACAGTTGTCTTACCTCTCCGATATTCTCTCAATCTCTGATGTGTAGTGGTTGATTGCATCCACCCTTGCCCCACAAATGCCAAGGAAACCAGTTTGTTTGATGAAAAAGGGGAAAAGCATTAGTGAAGAGAATTAAACCACTAATTATAAGAGTGCATCAAGCTCTATCTTGTATATGAAGTATGTAAACAAGATACTGTTGGAGCAATCAACAATTCCTTTATTGTGGGTTTCGTAGAAGGATTTCTTGATTACTTGATTTGGTAGTAGACAAAAGTTCAGAACCAACTCTACCACCAGTAATCCGGCTTCTAATACCAAGTGAGAGGAAAACAAAAGTCAAATTTTGCAAAAGAAACAAATGGAATCTCTTATTGATAATCAACATAGTCAAATTAACTCCTCAATCAAATCCTATATAAATCGAGCCCAAAGGAAGGAAGAACAGAATCAAGACTAGAGATCGATCAATGAAATTTCAGCACAAAAGCTACATTGGTTTGGTCCACGGTAGTACATCCAACTGTTATTTATGCACTTAATATAATAACCTGAAGGAAGGTTAGTCTCACCTTTACAGAGCATATTTATGTTGGGCATCAGAAGATTACAAGAATCGCGTTGCAAACTTTTGGAGCTGCAAATTCAACAGGCAAACCAGAGGGTTCACTTCAGGAACCTAGATAGTAGGAACAGACAAAACAAGTCTTACCTAAAACATGAACACGCGTATCTATAACGACAACGAAAAAACCAGAACCCATAATCCAGATGAGCTGCATTCGCACTCAGATTGGTTTTTGGGGAGCCAAACATAATCATTTTAGAAACTTGATACGCCGAGTTAATGCAGTGTTCAAAAGCTTGCCTTGCCCATATTACGCCCATTACTGAAAAATACAGCTCTGCTGCCCCTAAGAGAAAACAGAACATACAGCAGTAGACAAAGCAAGAAATCATTAACGAAAATTTGATGCAAAGTTTCAAGAGGTGCCCCACTAAGTTAAAACTCATCACCAGGCTCTAGTGATTTGCTATATTCCCCATGTTCCATAAAACGGAGTATTTTCAAGTTCCCTTACCTCAAAGACAAAAGGCAAGCCTCCTGAAACAATAACAAAGTGAAAGAAACATCACCACTAACTTATTACATGCCAATATCACTGCTAATTGCCCAAAAAGCTAAACAAATAGAGAAACCTAATCAATTAGTGAAATGAGTAATCCATCAGCACCCGTAGCCGTAGTCAAATCAAGTTCCCCGTGATGTAAACCATGCAGCAATTGGCTCCCAATCAAATTCTCGGGAGTGTAAAATCAAGGGTTAAGGTTTTCCGCAGTTCGTCGGCGGGAAGAAGTACACAGAGGGAAGATGCGGGTACTTACCTGGAGATCTCATCCCAATCATGGCTGAATCGGTTGACCACGAGCCGCTCTTCCTCACAGAAGATGGCCTGATCGACGAACCATCCCTAGTGGAAGTGCGATGACAAGTATGAAATCGAGGCAGCTTCTGCGCACTCTGCTTTCCTCTCCGATGGTTTGACATTTGGGGAACTTTGTTGGAATCCCTAACAATATGAAGGGACTTTGGTCGTGGATTTTATGGCCCGCCACCTCCATGGAGCTCGATGCCGAGAATCAATGTTGGCGGTGTGGGCTAGAGATCGAGGAGATGAAAGGAGGAACGTAAGGTATCGACATGTATGCGGGAATCTCTAGAGCTCGACGATCGCTTTTCGCCATTCCCTCTCCAAATTTTAAACAGAATAGGGGCCGAATAGAAAACCAGAAAATCATAGAAGGGAAAGTAGGAATTTTCAATTTCGAACTGGAACAGGGGATGAGATTAAGTAAATTATGTAGCAAGGGGTTTCGAAACGTTGGCACAAACCCTTGTTACAACGAATTTCGGAAAAAATATTAGGGATTTTGAAACCCTTGCTACGAAACCCTTGCCATAGGGTCTCTTTTTTGTAGTGATTGAACGCACTCAAAAAAGTGAGTGCACCGAAGTAGCCACTACAACTAGCTAAGGAAAAAATCCCAAAGTACACTAGTTTTTAAAAAAAATTCCCAAAATACATTAGTTATAAAAAAAAATTCCAAAACTACACATGTTTGAGCATCACCGTTTTAGACAAACGCGGTGAAGATCATCACCGCGTTTGACAAACACGGTGAATACTTCATCGTTTTAAACAAAAACGGTGAAGTATTCACCGTTTCAAACCAAAACGGTGAACACATCACCGTTTTGGTCAAAAACGGTGAAGCCTTCACCGTTGTTAACTAACGCGGTGATCATTTCCCACGTTTCCCACCCCTGGTAGGTCAAAATTAGGTCGCAGCTACCACCTATTCACCGTCTGAGACAAACGCGGTGATAGTGTTCACCGTTTTTGACAAAAACGGTGAATAGTAGGCAGATTTTCCTATAAATAGCACACCACCAGCAGTTGTAAAAACATAACCACTCCCCTTTCTTCAAATTTCAGCAGCCAAAATCGAGCATAATACACAGAACAGAAATTTTTCGGTATGTTGAGACTTTTCGTATTATGGTCTAATTATGTTTTTAGTAGTTATAGTATGATTTAATTTTCGTATTATGTTGTTGTTAGTTAGTTGAACTTATGTTCGTTAGTTATAGTATGATTTAATTTTCGTATTATGTTGTTGTTAGTTAGTTGAACTTATGTTCGTTAGTTATAGTATGATTTAATTTTCGTATTATGTTGTTGTTAGTTAGTTGAATTTATTTTCGTTAGTTATGGTATGATTTAATATTAGTTGTACAATATGATTTTGGTTAATTTTACTGTCTTTAAGCTAATAGATACTTATTGTAAATTGTAGATATGGGTAAATTCAAGAAGTTTCATCTTACTATTCGGTGGAATGGAAGGGTGACAAACTCTGACATAGGCATTGATTATGAGGACGGCGAATCCATTATGCTGAAAATTGAATCCCGATTCAATTTTCAAGAACTCTATGATCTTTGTGCAGAAAGGGTTTGTACGAGCGGACAGACGAGACTTGGCAAAATTACTTACCGGTATCCAGACATGAGTGCTGGCGGGGTCGTGTTCCAAGAAGTTGTCATAAACAATGATGACGCGGTTATGATGATGTTACAGTTCCTAAGCGATAACCAAGTCCGGCTTGCAGAGGTGTATGTTGAGACCGAGGCGCTCGGTGAATCTCATTCTCACCAGTATTCTTATGATGATGGTTTTGCAGGAGGGTACGAATGGGGTGGTAGTTCGAGCAACTACCAAGGCGGTGGTTATACAGGAGGTTACGGGGAGGGTGGTGGTTCAATCAACTACGGTGGATCGAGTAGTGCAGGATGGGACCAATACTCGCAACCTCCTAAACCAGCCCCATTTGTTGAGGCCGATGGTGTTCAATGGCCTGCTTGGGGGCCAGAGTGGTATGGAATCGAGAATACCATTCGATCAGGGCGTACTTCACATGAGCGAGAGGACGATGTTGGTGATCGTGGTCATGTTGATCCTTCTAGCTCGAGCTATCCATTCGAGTCAAGCGACGAGGATACTGAGGAAGATTTGATATCAGTGAGCGAGGAGGAGGAAGATACTGATGATAACGAGGATGAGGCGGCATTTCGTGAGGCACCCACGCCATATTACACACAGGTTCCAACTCAATTTTTACATAGTCAGGATGATCCCCCCGACTTTGTCCCTATGCCAGTGTACAATCCGACGGTCAATCTGGAGGTGGGTATGGCGTTCACATCGAAAGACGCTGTGCAGGATGCATTTACAGAAGAGGCGTTGAGGCGCAATTTCGAGTGGAAGGTAAAATATTCTGACAGTAAACAATTACATGTCATATGCAAGCATGATGCAGAGGGTTGTACGTGGCAACTGCGGGCTGCAAATATGAAGAGAAAGGGTGCTTGGGTGATTCGCAAAGCTGAGACGATCCACACATGCTCCTCTTCTATACTTTCCCAAGATCACAGGCAACTAAAGCAAAGAAGGTTGGGAGAACTATTAAGCACCTTATAGAAGCACAACCAGATATCAAGGTGAAAGCTATCATGGCAGAGGTGAAGGATCGACATTCTTACACGATAAGGTACAAAAAAGCATGGCATGGTAAGCAGAAAGCCATGGCTGAGGTGTATGGTGATTGGGAGGATTCGTATGCTTTACTCCCTAGACTTATGGGAGCAATGGAGGAGTCCAATCCTGGGACTGTTTTCGTCCCAGTATACAACAATGTATACACTGAGGATCAAGTTCGAGTACAGGATAAGCTGATGTTCCATCGTCTTTTTTGGGCTTTTAAACCATGCATTGACGGTTTTGGGTTCTGCATACCGGTTATTCAGGTATTTTACCAACTAGTTCCGGTTTTAAATGTTGTATTATTTGCTGTTAAGTATATTTCATACTAATTATATCCTAAATTTTTATTCAGGTTGACGGAACTTTCCTTACTGTGAAGTACAGAGGATGTCTTCTAATTGCCACTGGCGTTGATGGAAACAGGCGGATTTTCCCGCTTGCATTTGCATTAGTGGAAGGGGAGAACAGTTTAAGTTGGGCTTGGTTCTTTGACCAACTGCACGAACACGTGACACAGCGGGAAGATATTACGATTATATCCGATCGACATGCGGGGATAAGGAATGCTGTTGGTGGTTTTCCCGACGAGTGGGGGTGGAGATGGAGATGGTGTATTCGGCACTGGCTCGCCAATTTCCAACACAAATTTGGGAAGAAGAAAGACATCAAAAATCTACTTTGGAATGCAGGTACTCATGTTTTTCTTATGCGATTTAAGTTTGTGTTTATTAAGCTGATAAGCAGATGTTATTCATCATGTATTGACCAGTTAGTCTTTTGTTCACCTTTTAGCGGTTGCACATCAACCAAAAAAGTACGAGCAGATCATGAAAACGATCCGTCAGACCCACCGAGCTGGAGCAGTATGGGCTGAAGGTCAAGAGTTGCCCATGTGGACGTTCCATATGGACAACAGGGCTAGATGGGGCATTGCAACTACCAACCATGGAGAAAGTATAAATAATGTGTACAAGGGTCTTCGAGCGATGCCTATTTCTGTCATCGTGGAAATGTCTTATTGGAAGGTCAACGAGTGGCGAGTTGCTCAGCTACAGCTAGCTATAGGGAGGGAGTTGCAAGGTCATTCAATAGCACATGACGTATTCGCTCAAATGCAGAAGAACGATGAAAAATCAAGTAAGCATAAGGTTGTTCTTTTTAACCGCAGTGAAGGAATATTCGCTGTCGAAACAGGTATATGGGGTGGAGGGAGACGTGGTCACAATCGTCAAACGGTCAAATTGCACTACGAATTAGGGGAGTGTTCTTGTCAAAAGTATCAGAACGAAAGGATACCCTGTTCACATGCAATGGCGGTTGCTAAGTCAATAACCATGAACAGAAACAGCCTGGTGAGTCCTTACTACACTGAACAAGCGATACGGAACTCATATAATGCAGCTTTGAGCCCCATGCCAGATGAAGCGTATTGGCCTATATACGTTGGAAAGTTGATTATCCCACCGTTGCACCTAAAACGCACCAAAGGCCGTCCTAGAGTTGAAAGGATACACAATGAGATGGATCAAGTTGAACGGACGAGAAGGGGACCGAAGCGATGCTCTAAGTGCAGACAACCTGGTCACGACAAGAGGCGTTGCCCAGGACAACCATCAACTTAATTTGCATTTACTTGTATTCTGCTACTAAATTGATCGCTTGTTTAATTTTTAATTAACGTTTGCATTTGAAGTCCAAGTATTTTGTTAAATCAAAAATGTTTTCCTTGTCGATACGATCGCGCGGCCGCAAACGGCTCGTTATTTCGACCTCAAACGAATAAGATACGGGCGTTTTAGTTTATAGTACGCAAAAGTTACTTTAACGATACGATCACGCTTTGACGTCACTTATCTCACTCGTTTGGACTCGGAATTGGGATCTGTAAAATTCTATGCGATCGTGGTTGATTTGCCCAACTTTTTTGTGTTGAGGGAAGATACTGATTCTTGATAAAATGATCCAGAAAATTCATTCGACAACTTAAGTGCGTAGGATAGTTTTTAGACAATGCAAACTCAAATAACAACACCTAAAAATCACAAAAACAACATTGATAGTTCACTACAATGATAAAACGATAAATTCACTAATTTGCTTCATTTTGGCCCCCATCTCCACCTCTTCCTCCTCGTCCTCCACGACGTCCTCGACCCCTTCTTCCCCCCTCCGCCGCTGCTTCTTGGCGGGCTCGCTCAACGGCTGGTCGCGGATTTCTCTTGACCCGAGCCCCAACTGGGGTTACATATGGTGGTGGTGGTGGCTGAGTTGGAGCGGTAGCTTGACGAATGATCGGAGTTTGTTGTTGCGGGGTCTGAAACATCGAACTTTGTTGCTGATGTTGGAATTGAGAGAACCCATGAGAGAAAGTGTCCCATTCCTGAGATCCTCCACGACTCGATGAGCCTCCACCGGCATCCGCTGTAGGTGCCCACTGGTACTCGAACGGTTCGGGGAGCTCGGTTTCTTGAGTGGTACGCACCTCTTCGAACGTAGGCAAAGGCCTGCGTTTGCTCCTTCGTGGGGGCTCAACCGGGGGCACAATGGCTGCATCATCACGGAATGAGGGTCGTGCCGGGGCAGGAACGGGAGGATAGGCCACGACATCCCTCCTTTGCTCTCTGGTGCAACTCAGGAGGTTATTCATAAGTCGGGTCAACCAAGTAGTCTTCCGCTCATCCATGGTTGGAGCACTTTCGAGAGTGTACTTCGCGTGTTCCAAACCA